CAACACTTGGCAAAGTTATTGCAGCACTTGCTGAAATGGTTTGTTAATTAATCAAACGAAAAAAAAAAAAAAACAAAACAAAACGTAATAAAATAATTTATATGTTTTGTTTTTAGAGTTCAAAAAATCGTAAACCACGTTCAGAAAAAAAAGGTGATTTTATACCATATCGTGATTCTGTATTAACTTGGTTATTAAAAGAAAATCTTGGTAAGTCAATTAAAATGGAATTATACTTCTTTTTTTTCTCTGTTTTGAAAAATTTCTATTACGAAAAAAGTAATCTTCAGGTAAAATCAAATCAATTATTCAGAATACGTATGTAAAAGTAACATTTGCCTAATTTACTAATACAAATCAAAAGCTAAAAAAACACTATTTTCTTAAATTTTCAAACGGAATCAATAATAAAATTTTTTTTGTTGCGGTTAGGTGGTAATTCAAAAACAGCTATGATAGCAGCTATATCTCCAGCCGATATCAATTATGAAGAAACTTTATCTACACTTCGATATGCTGATCGTGCAAAAGCAATTGTTTGTAAAGCTGTTATTAATGAAGATGCAAATGCTAAACTTATACGTGATTTAAAAGAAGAAATAATTAAATTACGAGAATTATTAAAACATGAAGCTGGTATTGATATATCACCAGATGGTACAACAACATCCATTGTATCTACAACAACAACAACCAATACGACTAAACATCAACGATTAAAATCAACTTCATCCCAAAGTAGTGAAGATGCATTAGAACGTTTAAAAGAAAATCAAAAATTAATGGATTCATTATGTATGTCATATGAAGAAAAATTAAAGAAAACAGAAAAAATTATGGCAGAAAGGTATATATATGAAGATTAATTGAAATAAAACGATTTCAAATTTTATTTTTAGAGAAGCAGCTTTTCATGAACTTGGTGTTTATTCAAAAAATGATGGCAATGCTGTTGGGATTTTTTCACCAAAAAATGTAAGAATTTATATAAAGTAAATATATTCGTCATGAAATTTATTATTATTTTAGTCTCCTCATTTGGTCAATCTTAATGAAGATCCATTAATGTCTGAATGTTTAATGTATTTTATTAAAGATGGTACAACTCGGTAAGATTTATATATGCATTATTTAATTGAATGTTATGAAAGACAAAACTAACGACTATCATCTTCACTTCAATGGTAGATTGACAAATGTTTTTTTTTTAATAAGTCTATTGAGATCAACAATTTGAAGTTCTTTGATGCTTCTAGATTACTAGAAACTTCTCATTTTTAAATTCTGTAATTAGTAGGTAGATTGCTTGAAAAAGTTTTTTATTCACATTACCATCGAGTTAAATGAGTCCGACGCCAACATCCTTATATTTTCGGTGAGAACTTACCGGAATGAAGACGACGTTTTCGATCGGAAAACTTCCTGAAATAGTAGAAACGCAGAAGTAAAAGTTCAATAATGAAATATGTCAATCTACTATACCTAGTTATTATCGCTTCCGATCGGAACTAGAAAAATTCGATCACCAGATTCGTACATTGAAGCTGTTACTATATTTAGCTCGTACTTAATTCTCTTGTAATAATCTTTACTATTTATATAGTGTTGGTCGTCCTGATGCACCTGTACATCAAGATATTGTTTTGTCAGGTTCACATATAGAACCTGAACATTGTATAATAACAAATTCTCAAAATATTGTTCATTTAAAACCATGTAGTGCAACAGCAATGTGTTATGTTAATGGAAAAAAAGTTGATTTTGGTACAGCTGTTGATTTAGCATCGGGATCTCGTGTTATATTTGGTAAATCACATGTTTTTCGTTTTCTTAATCCTGAACAAGCACGAAGAAAGAATACAAAAACAGAATCATCTGGTGGTAGGTTTTCGTTGAAAGTAAAAAACAACATAATATAATTTGTTTTTTTTTTGTTTTTGGATCATATAGAACCAACGGATTGGAATAGTGCAATACAAGAATTATTAGAAAAACAAGGTGTTGATATAAAACATGAAATGGAAAAAAAGTAAATTGTTTTAGATTTTTGTTTTTCTATCAGACAAAATTTTTTTTTTGTGAAGACTTGTAACAATGGAAGAAGCATTTAAAAGAGAAAAAGAAGAAGCTGATCGTCTTTTACGTGAACAAAAACTTGAATATGAATCTAAAATAGTTGAATTACAAAAACAAGTTATGGAAACATCAATGAGTCAATCGATGCTTTCATCTATTTTATCATCATCAGGTTTTGTTGATGCAGCATCATTTAAACAAAATCCATTTCAACAAGATTTTAATGAAAATGACAATGATACACTTAATTGTAAGACGTAATAAATAAATATTTTTTTTTGTAGTGTGAGTTTTTTTTTTCAGATTGTTCTTGGTCAGAACAAGATTATCAATTAGCATGGTGGGCATGGAAAAAATGGCGTTATCATCAAATGACATCATTACGAGTAAGTTTTTATTTTTGATATGTAATAGATTTTTGAGATAATAGTTTTAACTTTAATTAGGATTATTCAAATCGTATTCAACCTATTTGGTTGATTAAGGTATATTTGTTTTTATCTGTTCATCTATTGGTGTTGTTTTGAAATTATATATCATATTATTTTAATTATCATCATTGTTTTGTCAAAGAAAAAAATAGTGATCTAAAAGAGAATTCAATTGACTGTGTAGAACTACAAAGACATGAGACCATCTGTTTAGTTACAGTAACTAGTTAACTCGATGAGTTATGATTCCATAAGAATTTAAAGTATTTGTCATTGATAAAGAAGATTTCGAGAGCAACATTCTCGTATTGCAATTGCCAAAATAGATAGATATCCATTCAGAATATTTCTATTATACAGTCAGTCAAAACCAGTTCAACAACAGAATAAATCCGTGTAAAATCGTGAGCCTATTGAATAAGAGCAGTAACCTGTAGCAATCAATTAGGAACCTTAATTTAATGCAACCATGAATTGCCAAGACATACTATTGAGTTGCTTAATCTTCAATGATGACTAACCGTATTGCAAAAACGATTCTTATACCCCTTTAGTTTTATGATTTGTACATACTTAGTAAACCCGAACCTCTAGATCAAGAAAAGTGAACTCAAAATGTTGAGTTTATACATTGAGGTCACTTTTTCGGTTCAGCTTATACGCTGATTTTTCTTGAGACTGAACAATCATTATGATAATCTGACTGATAATCCTCTCTTAAGTTCATTAGGAGGATTCATAATATAGATAAAAATCCTAAAAGCGTTTATGCCACTAGGTCTTTCTACTGGGCTTATGGTTATTTTACTAAACTTTTAGGCTATTGTAGGACATTACAAGCAAAACCGTAACAATGAGTTTCGATCTGGAATTTTTCTGGTATCTTGAAAGTTTCAGTTCAAACGAATGTTTACCTCTCGTACAAACTAAAACGTTTCGAGTTTCATAAGGACCATGAGAGTTATTGTTGAGATTTTTCTTTCAAAATTTTTATCCACATTATGAGTCCCACCTATATGATTATCAAATTAAGCTTTAGTTCCAGCACATATTGCTCGTCGAATATGAATGCTTAACAAAAAACTTTCATAGTAAGCCTTAAACTCTGCTTATAAAATATTCCAATACATTATAATTATTGATTTATGCTGTTTGTGTTGTTATTTTTTTTCTTTTATTTTTTTGAAATTTCATTCATTTGAAAATATAATTTATTATTTTCATAGGATCTTTTATGGGGTAATAGTGTTTATTTAAAAGAAGCAAATGCAATAAGTGTTGAATTACATAAACGTGTTCAATTTCAATTTGTTCTTTTAACTGATACACTTTATTCACCATTACCTGCTGATTTATGTTTATCACCATCATCATCACAACGTACAATTGTTGCTGTTGAAGTACAAGATTTAAAAAATGGCGCTCGACATTATTGGACATTAGAAAAATTTCGGTGAGTCAATTTTTTACTAAGAGATCATTAACATGATACAACGAAAGTGTTCTAGTTTAATAACATATGACTCATAATTTAAGTTCTAGACTAATTTTGTTTTTTTAGTAAAGAATTGAGTAAAATATCTAGTGCAGAAATAAGTATACAAAAATTTGACCGGAATTATTTCTTGAAGGATATAAAAATTTTAAAACAATATATGAAGAAACTCTATGAGAACTTCAAATTTGGATCGAATCAGATTACAAAAACTTAACTCATGTTGAACACTGATGTGTATTTGTTTGAACCTTTTTTATTATCCAATTTTGATATTTTTCATACATTTGTTCATTAGAATGATAAGCGTTCATGTTATATGTTTGAATATCGCACAATACAATGATATTCTATTCTAAATAATATCATTTAGTAGAAAAATCAATAAGTTTCAGTCTGTTGTATAATGAAATCAATGATTGTAGAAAATATTACAAAGCACATAGAATATTTATATTGAATGAAGTTTTGTTTTTAAAATCGAGAGTATTGCTGAAGATTTTAATGCTTGTCAGGAAACATTTTCGATCAATTTTTTTCATCTATGGTTATGCACTAGACATTTCATTCTATATAACAGAACAAAATTAATATTGAACTTTTGCCTTACTTGTTATAGAAAATACGCCATAAATGTCTTACTTAGATAATTTATTGAAGCTACACTCGAAAGTTTTTCTCCACAAGAATGATTAAATAAAACATCGGTCAACTATTCTGATAAATCATGGAATCTATTAAGTTTTTATTTAGTTGTAAAATATTAAAATGAATAAAGACAGATTTAGAAAAATTTTCATGATAATTAATATAAATTTAATTTTCTTTTTTTTTGAAATTCTATTTCACAAAAATTTATCGATGATTAATTAAGTTCGGTTATCTTTCCCTCAAATGTAAATTGAACGTTCTGTTTTTGTCTTTTAATCCAAACCTATAAATTTGAATATCCTTTCGAATCTTCATCCGCACACACATATAGATCGCGTCTGGAAATCATGCGTCATATATACAATTGTGAACAAATATCAATTCCACGTGCAGTAAGTTATAATGATATGAGCGATTCATCATCGCAACATATTATTATGACATCTGATACTCGACATTCAAGTTTTGATGATTCAATTCCAACTCCAACTGTTAAAGGACAATTTGATTTTTCATCAAAAGCCAGGTTCGTTTATGTGGTGTTCATTTATATTGTATATCATAAACATATTTTTGAAATTTTCCTTTTTTTTTTGTTTATTATGAAATAATTCATATTTATCTATATTAAACTAGGCAACGACTTGAATTAATGCGTGAAATGTATTCAAATGCTGCTGATATATCACCAACATCACCTGATCAAAATCTTGAATCAATATTAACTGGTGATATGTCAACATCTACAATTCCAAATGATCCATTTTATGATCGTTTTCCATGGTTTCGACCAATTGGAAGGTAAAATGAAATTCTTTTTTTTTTGTTTTTTCTTTGATTTTATTATTGTTATTTTCTTGTAAAGAGCATTTGTTTATTTAACAAATCTTTTATATGGTATACCATTAGTACAAAATGTTGCTATTGTATCTGAACGTGGTGAAATAAAAGGTTATTTAAAAGTAGCTGTACAACAATTACAAACAACTGATACAACAAATGAACAAATAAAATTAATGAGAACATATAGAAATGCAAGTGGAATGACAAAAATTGTTTTTGATGATGAAAATTATTTTCAAGTATGTATATTAAAACAAAAAAACAAGGGAGTGTTGAAGTAAATCGGATAGGAATTTAAATGAACTATTTTCTTATCGTATTTCGGGGAGGATTGAGTAAAAAAAAGATAGTAAAGAAATGTGTCCTAAATTAGATTGAATAAAATAATTTTCCTATGATCATGTTTTTACATTTTAATCCCCTATGGATTACATTAATAGCTTTTATATAGAAGAAGCTATATATATATATTATAGATATTAAAGAAGTGATGTTTTTATGATAAGAGGATTGTATTTCTTGACATCAAGCTTTCGCAACAATGAATGGCATAGATGTCAAAAAGATGAGTGTACTCTTTTTTTTTTTGATTTAGTTAAAATGTCATGACATCTATGTAGAATAAATGTCATCATTCAAATGAATTTGTTCTGTCTAAAAATGAATACGATAAACCGAAAGATGATTGAACAGTTGTTTGTGAGTGAAATTCAAAGAATATTGTCTTAAATAGAAATGTACGGAATTGGAATGAAAACTTGTAAGAAATGAAGTCCATCTTAATGAAAAGTAGGATATTAAGAAAAGCTCTCAAATCAAGAATTGTAGTAATTTCGTTTGAATTGTCTTAAAATCTAGTTATAATCTCAACAAAATTAAAAAGAGAAAACTTTATTTATCAGTAATTATTTTGTTTTTCAGTCAATGAAAAGTTCATCTACGACTGATTTAATAAAAGCATGTGATTCTTCGGATTCAAATTCTCGTTATGTCGAAGGACAATCTCAATTTGGTCTTAATGATATTTTACAACAAAAAACAAATTCTGATTCTTCATCATCATTGAATCCTTCTAGTAAATATATTTTGAATTCTATTTCTTTTTTTGTATTTCTTTTTTTTGAAAATATAGAAGAATCTCAAATAATGCTTAGAAATGATATTTCATCAAATGAATTTGTACCACAACTTGGTGTTGAATATCAATTTCGTGTAACAGTTTTAGAAGCATCACAAATATCATCAGATTATGCTGATATTTTTTGTCAATTTAATTTTTTACATCAACATCAAGAAGCATATTCAACAGAACCACTTAAAAATCAAGGCAAACCAGGACCACCATTAGGATTTTTTCATGTACAAAATGTAAGATTAAAAATAAAATTTCATTTTCTTAAAAACAAAAAAAAAAAATAATTATTCTAATTTTTACTTTTTTTTTTTTTTATAGTTTAGTGTTATTGTAACACATTCATTTATTGATTATCTTCGAACAAAACCAATTGTATTCGAAGTAATGGGTCATTATCAAGAATATTTAGGTCCAATAAAAAATAAGTAATGCAATTTTTTTTCTATAAGAATTAAATTTTCATAGAAAATTAAATTATATTTAGTTCAACAGTAACAAAAACAAATCGTTCACAAACAACTACTGCAGCATCATTAACTTTTTCAAAACCAGTTCCTGCTCAAACACTTAATCCAATGACAGCTGTTAGGTTAGTTAATAATACATACTCATCTAGTTACAAGTTATAGATTTCAGACATATCTTATATTTACTTTCTGAAAGAGATATAGAAGTGCTTAAAAATAATTTTTTTTTTTTTTTTTTATTATTTTAATATAGTACAACAAATCAAGTTCATGCTACACATGATCTTCTTGTTTGGTATGAAATTTTTGAATTATCACCTACTGGAGAGTAAGCTTTTTTTTTCTATTTTAATTGACAAAATGAAAAAAAATAAAAACATAAATTATTTATCAATAAATAGATATGCTGCTGCAACTGTTGATCATTCAGATGATGTTCCATGTTCAGGTCGATTTATTCTTCATCAAGGTATTCAACGTCGTATTGGAATAACTCTTTGTCATGAATCTGGTTCTGAACTTATTTGGAAAGATGTTCAAGAAGTTGTTGTTGGTAAAGAAAAAAACAAAAACAAAAGAAAAATAATTCAATACTTACATTTGTTTTTTTTTGTCTAAATAGGTCGTATTCGTGGTCAACGTGATTCTGTATTTGATGAATCTGATGGCCAAGTATTATCATTAAATATAATTTCATCTCATTATATTCAAAAACAACATGATGAACGAACATTTTATCATTTTGAAGTTGCATGGGATTCATCATTACATAATTCATTATTACTTAATCGTTGTACATCAAGTGGAAATTCTGTTTATTTAACTATATCATCATATCTTGAAATTGAAAATTCATTTCAACCAGCTATAATAACAAAAGATCTTTGTCTTGTTTTATATCCACGTGGTGGAGATTCAACATCACGTATACGTTCATCATTAAAAAATTTTTTCTTATCAACTAATTCAATAACATCATCATTTAATGAAACAATAAATGAACATTCAAATCGTGTATCAGCTGTTTATGAATTAAAATTACGACGTGCAACACCAATGAATATTATGGCACAAGATTCATCTATGATTAATTCGGATATACAACGACGACAAAGAAAAATAATTGATACATCAAAAATTTATGTACGTGGTGAAGAAATGTTAGATGGTTGGAGACCAAGAAGTGATTCATTAATTATTGAACATCAACAAGATTTAGAAAAATTATATAAAATTGAATGTGTAAGTTTTTTTAGATAAAATGTACAAAAAAAAAATATTTTTATTTGATTTTGATTTTATAATTAGGTTGAACATACAAAACATTTTCTACAAGTAAAAAATCGTTTAGAAAATCCTTTATCATCACCAAATGATAATTCACCTGAAAAAATTAAATATTCATTAAATACTATTGATCCATTAAAATCAATTGATAATCGTCAACAAGATTTACTTCGTCGATGTGTATCAATGATGTTACCACCACCTTTAATTATACATAAATTAGCTATACCAGAAATTGAAGTAAATAATGCGTTTATTTTATTTTATTTTATTTTTTGGTTTTATTTATGAATTAAAAAGAAAAACAATTTCTTTCTATGAAATAAATAGGTAACTACTGATCGTTTATTATCGGATGATTTTGGAACAGTTCATTCATTACTTAAATCAGCATCAACATATTCATTTAATACACAACCATTGCATATGAATACGGCAAATATGATTAATTCATTTATTAAAGCATCTTCTAGTAGTTCCGATCTTTCAAGGTAAAAAAAATAAAAAATAAAAGCGTCTAAACGTTTTGAACAATACAAAGAGAAAATTAAATTGAAAGTACTCAAATCTTAATGATTTCTATAAGTTTTGATTATAGATAAAGGTGTAAACCGTATAGCTGAGCCGCCGCTGTGAAAAAGCAAGTTCAGTCGCTGTGCCGCCGCCACGAACAAAAATTTTTGATAATAGTATAAGGTGCCGCTGCCGCCACCGCTGATTGATCCTTCGGTTTACGCCTCTAATTACAGAACAGGATATGTGTAGTCAAAAATTATCGAAAAAATTATAGGCGTTACAGATGCGTGAGTGACATGCCATCATTTCTAAACGAATGAAAGTCGTATGTCTATCTGTTTACCCAAAGCTGCATATTGTGTGACGGACACTTTTCTATCATATGTGATGTTTTTTTTTTTGAATATCTGGAGAATGAAGTTTGCTAGAAACCTGTGGTTTTCATTATTGAAAAAAGATATGTGAGGAAAATAAAATTTTTCTATACTATCTTGACTATGAACTGTTGAAGTCGGTCAGTTTTTGACTAGAAGTTTTCAAACTCAATGAATTCTAAGTTTGAATTATCAATAGCAACAATATTTCGCTGTTGATCGATCTACACAAAAGAATAGTTTTCAATATATTCTATATGCTCGTGTAATAATCATTCGACAATTAAAATGAATAAATATTTTTCATATATCATAGATTTGCACATTTGGATCCATCCTATTCAATATCATCATTACATCATATGGGTGGTATGACTGGTTCGATATCACCTAGTATGCCAAAATCACGTTCAATGGAAAGTTTAATGAATACATCAGGTATTGCATTAAAATACATTCCATCAATTGAAGAAGTTCGTATATCACCTGTTGTATCACGTCGTGGTTATTTAAATTTTCTGGAAGAAAAAGGAACTGGTTGGATAAAAAAATTTGTTGTATGTATTTAAAATAGAATAATATTGATTTTATTGTTTATATTTGTTTTCTGAAGGTTGTACGACGACCATTTGCATTTATATATAATCATGAAAAAGATCCTGTTGAACGTGCATTAATTAATTTAGCTACAGCTCGTATTGAATTTAATGATGAAGATGTAGCAAGTGGAACAAGAGTATGAAAAAAAAAAATAATTTCTAATAAATTAATTTATTATTTATTTAAAAAAAAAATAATTTTTGTTTAGAGTGCTCGTAATACATTTTCTGTTGTATCAAAATATCGTGGTTTTCTTATTCAACCATTAGTTGAAAAAGATGTTCATGATTGGCTCTATGCATTTAATCCATTACTCGCTGGACAAATAAAGTAAGAAAACATTATTGTATTTTATTTGTTAATTTTAAATAATTATTATTAGATCTCGATCATCCGGTCGATCAAAAGTAACTATTGAATAAAATTTGAGAATAATCAACGCTCAAATGGTCAGATTAATATGACGATTACTTTGCAAGACATGGTTTTTCCTTTTTTTTGACAAAATATTTACTTAACAAAAAAAAAAGCAAGCAAGACAACTTTCCTTCTTTTTTTATCTATACATATACGCTTATGAATCAAAATCAAGAATAATCTAGTCGCTTTTTTTTTTCTTTTTTAATCAAGTATATTTGTTCCTTTTTTTCTGTTGCTGACAATATATTGTTGCATAAATATTTTTTTCCATGGAGTTTTATTGGTGTCTTTCAGTGTTCCTTTTTCTCGTAATTTTATTTTTGTGTATGTATATGTATGAAGATAAGTCAATATATATATATATATATGTATGTGTGTGTGTTGCATAAACAGTGACACATTTGTATGGTTTATGTAGTCAGTTTTATTTATAAAAATAATAAAATACTATGTCTCTCTAAGAATACAATTTCATGTAGAAATTATTCAATGCAAATAAACAACAAAGTGATCATTAGAGATTTCTATATGAAAGAAAAAGTTGAGAGATTAAGTTTTCGGATAGAAAAATGTTCAACGCTTTTTCAGAGTGATGGATATATGTTCATTCAAAAAAAAAATACCTGACGAAAGAGAAGTACTACCACAAGGTTTTTGCAACTTCTGTGATTCTGATGATTATTTCGTAACAACTATGATGAATTATTTATCACTTGGTTGAAAGAGTTAAGCGAAAGGCAAAAGAACTTGATCAAGAATGTTCCATAAAGACTTTAAGCTATGTGATGCAATGGATTGTAGTATTTGTTATGTTGTTTCTAATAAAACAAAGGTTAGCTTTCCATTTTCTAAAATGGCCAAGCTGTGTAACTCAATCAGATAAACCAAGGCATATCACCTTTCATTTGAGATTGATTCTTTATGAGGATTATTTTCCTGAACAAGTTCTTTTAGTATAGACGTATGTAAAAAATATTGGATCTATCAGCTGATACTAAATTATAATTAATTAAAAACTAATTACAGAAATTATCGCTAACCAAGGTCGATCTAACGCTAACTTAAGTCGATCTAACAGCGTGGTTATTGAAATTCTCATTAAGTTATAAGAACGTTTTTTTGTTTAATTATTCTCGTTCTATCACGTCATTAACGAAAATTGAATCGAATTTCTTGACAAATTCAGGGATGTTCAGAAAAGATTTTGTAATCATAAGAATTGTTCACGGAATATCCTATTTTTTTCAAAAAAGCTGCTTTGATTCAGAACTTTTTAACAATAATATGCATGGAAAGACAATCGATGTTCTCTTTTTTAGTCACATTGCGAACGGTACTTTGTTCAGAGTATTAAGACAAATTGTAGCTTATATGTGATTCTCTTCAGTAACTTTCAGGACTTATGAGAATGATATGTCAATTGTTTCCTAGGATTTCAACTGATATTTTTCTCATAAGTAGAGGATAGTTGAGAAATCGGATTTTTAAACAATAGTCATTTGCCATAGGCATGATACACAAAATAGAGTCTACTTGAAAATTCAATAAGTCGACATCTTTACTCATAGATCTGAAATATTGACAAAACAAAAACTAAGATAAAATTTAATTCTATTTAAGATTCTAAATATTTCTAAAGAAAAACAAAACTAAATGTAATCGTTCATTTTTGACATAATACACTTTTATCTTTCGTACAGTTTTCAAGTTTTTTCCAAACATCAGTATGTCGAAAATAAATTCCACGTAGATATCTTGGTCCAGTAAATGCATCTCGTGCATGTAACATTTTAAAATTATCATAAAGAACAAAATCTCCACTATTTAATGTAACTTTGTATTGACATTGAGGATCATATAAAATTGATGCATATGCACGATATGCATTATAATAAGCTGTTGTTAACCAAAATGGAAAGCGAAATGGTGCTAGAGTAAAATAACTATGACGAACTTGTTTTATTTGATCATCTTCTGTTTCAATTATTGGACCAACATGAATACTTTCAAATTGTTTTTGTTGTCGATGAAAATGAACTGGTACAGTTGTTAATAAATGATATGCATTTGGATCAATTTCACGAAGATAAAGTGCAGCATCACTAGCATTTACTAATGAATTAGATCCACCAGTGTCTGCTCGACGAATACATTGTAATAATTGCATACCTATAGATATGAAAAATGAAATATAGAAACTAAAATGTTCATAAATTAATCTACCTGGTGGATCATCAATAAATGGTTGATCAGTATGTAAATTAATTGCTGCATCTGTATAACCTAATTGATCATTATTTTTATTTGTTGTATTATCTGTACGTAAATCTTCAATACGACCAAAATGAGTTTCGACAACTGATGCACCGCTAGGTAAGAAATCTTGACTATAATGACAGAGAATAAAATAAAAATAAATAATATATTAAAAAATGACCCACATGATTTCTTCTGTATCTAAACCACGTTGTCGAACAACAACTAATCCAAATTTTTTTAATCTTTCAGCACAATTTCTTAGATAAGTTTCATATTGATTTTTATTATAAATTAATTCAATATCTTCAACTTTTGCTTGAGGCCTTTTAACTTCGATTCGATTTTTTCCATATGCATTTGCTAATAAATATGATAAATCAAATAAGCTAGTATGATCTTTTGACCAAACAATTTTAAGTGTTTGTTCATTATCAATTAATTCGACATGTTCAGGTTCAATTGTTGATGGAATTTCAGCACAATCAACAATACGTTCACCAGTTTTTGGATGAATCGATTTACCGATTTCAGGACAATTATGTCGTAACCAAATGTAATGAAAATCCATCGTGTCATTTTTATCGATCAAACGAAGATGATCTTTACGTCTTTCAATATGAAGAAAGCGTTGACTTTTAGATGGTAATGAACCATGTACAAAACGAAGAAGTGGACGAATATATTTAATAGTCGTCATTGTTTCATGTGCATGAATATTGTCTTTGTTTGCACGTTCTTTTTTATATGCAGATGATAATATTAACTATAGAACAATGACTTAGGTTAAATGTAATCGCTTTTTTTTTTTGTTTTCGTTAGATGATACCCATTTTTTTTTCTTTACACATCAACAACGGAACGGCTATAAACAAGATAACAAAACAATGACAACATGCGTTTTCTCCCACAACCTTCTAAAACATTATAATACTATTGGATGAAAAATATTATTCTTTTTTGATTGCATTAAAGATTTTTGTATACATAATGTTCTATTTATTAAATAATTCTCTTTTATATCAAGAATTTCATGACACATATTACTTGTCTATGATGCTATTGCTCCATTGTTCCCATAATGGAATATAAAGATATACAAATTGATTTTGTTAAACGCTTCAAATATTTAGGGATTGATATAGCAAATAAATTCGGATGTGACATATATAATGAAGTACAACGGAGATACTAACAAAACAATGCGCAGTAAATAATTATCTACATAATTAAATACTGACGAAAATTCAATAAATATCTAGAAATTGTATCAGAAAGCTCATCAATATGAGCTTATTTCTAATTCATGTCTTACTGCAAAAACTATTCAAAAGAATTGATATCTCAGCATAGATATGTAAAAGATAATAAATTTTTGACCTCTTATCCTTCATGATATAGATAATTTGAATACACATCATTTCGACATATTTTATTTTAATAAATAAGTACCTGCTAGAGATCCATTAAATATATGCAAAAAAAATCCAGGTAAATACGATGATTTTTTTTCGCTTTTCCTCTTTCGCATTCCATTCTATACTTCTCTTATCTCAGATGTTATTTTGTGCTTGTTTTCTTACCACTTTGCATTGTCAACCTCGTTTATATGAGTAATAAAAATTCATTTTTACAAAAAAGAATTTCGTGATAAATATCTTAATATGCTTTATTTTTCTTAGTGGCTTCTCTCACTTTGTGAAGGTGTCATAAACAGATAGAAGATGAGTTTCTCTTCAAATATTAAAACCATTGTGAATGGGAAGAAATATCTGTGTTTTCACCTGATGAATGATTGCATGTTTTTATTTCTGCACAAACACATATGTACTTAGGAAGATTATCAAAGATAATTTCTTTATCATATTTTTATTGATGTTTTTATAGTTAACATTATGCGTGTATGGCAGAAATCATAATATAAACGCTAACATTATTTGTTTATTTTAATAAAGCACTAAAAGATGTGATGTTGTTCTAACAAATTAATAAAACATGCAGCATGAGAAAACTATTACATTAAATTACATGTATTGTTCTATTCAATAAAATTATGATTATTTTTGAAAGAGTATATTCGTTGCACAAGCATTCCAACAGTCAATGATATTAATGTATAGATAAATGCAAACAGAAAACTCTTCGTATTTAAAAAAAAATAGTATAGCTGTAGATACCAATAGCGATTGTACATTGTCTTGTAAGTCACATGTTAGAATAATGAAATATACTAGAAAAGTCTATTAGTTTAGATTACTCGATATGGTCAACATTATAAGTATTTATAATCTTCTCAGTTAAACTTCATCGTGTAAAACTCGAGTCTATAAAGATGAAAATAAAATCTTTTTGCTCGTTTGACGTTATCATTGTTTTATGTGTGTAACTGAATTCATCCGTAAAAAATACAGCTGTTGTTGACATAAGAATTTAAAGATAAAAATCGGCTTACTCTATTGTGCTAGAAAAACATTGTTGCTGAAAACAGCAAACAAATAATTAATGAAAATTAGAGTCTTGTAGCACCTTGCTGCTCTACGATAGAGCTAGAACATCATTTTGAAAGTTATAGGGTGCTACAGGATATATATTCATAATGTCAACGTGCTGTATCTCATCTTAGATACGTTTTTGGAAAAAAGATTTTATTGGCTCTCACCAGTAGTTCAACGATAGTCTAGATAGTTTTTGTCGGAAAGAAGCTGTGCTTTGATTACAGTGACACTAGTTATATATTGTTTATTCT